TAATGAATCCACCTGGACCAAACCTGGTCCCATTCTTCAGTGACACCAGGCTGCCTCTGCACTGGACTTCCCAGGTGCTCCACGTTTTTTTCCCAGTTTGTGACTGCAGAGACATCTATCATCCTGCACAACAGAGAGCCACGGCAGCGCTACCCTGCCACGGCCGTTTCTCCTGAAAATCAGGGAGAGTCTGGAAAGATGCTGTATCATAATGGGAAATGCTGGTGCTAGAAATGAGTGTCATCTGGGGATGCTACTAAGAGATTTTCTATTTTCTAACCCTGATTTGTGTTTGTTACCTAGCAGAGAGACCAGATCTGGCTGTTCTGACCTGATAAATCAGGCTTGGGTTTTACATTGACTCCTTTTTCCTGTATTAATTATCAGCAAATGTGAAATAATGGTGTGACAGCTGAGACCTGCTGTTCCCAGGCAGTATCTGCCGTTCAAGCTGGAACCCTTGAAAGCTGACTTTGCTGAGGTACCCAGCAAACCAGAGGAATCACCCATACGTCCAGTAAAATAATACTCCTGTCACAGGTGAGCCCTCCTGGGTTGTTGGTTCCTGCTTGGATGCCATTGTGGGGTGACACTGACTATGTACAGGCTGAACATACACACACACATATGTACAGGTATACATGTACTTACATATATGTTCATATATACATGTGTTAATACGTATATAAAGGTAGACTGATGTTTTGACTCGTTAGTCCCATACTTTATAAAACACCTGCATCGAGAATGCTTGTGTTGACTGGAATTCACATCCACACACACAAGGAACAATCAATCCTTAAATACACCAGAATTACCTCAACTGCTGAGCTGGTTTCTTCCCATTTCCCATTCCAGGTAGTGGAATAAGCCCTATTTCTAGCCCCAAAGGGGTCTTCCTGAAGACCCAGAAATACTCAAAAGTGGTGGTATTTTCTGCTGCTTTGTTTGCTACCTATGTGACTTACAAAGGGCCTATTCCCACTCTAACATGTTGGTCAGTACATCCAGGTCTCCTGTGTAGCCAGGAAAAGCAATTTATGCTGTCTCACCACTGGGTTTGACCTACACCCCAAAGCCTATTGCTATTTTATCAGCCAGGCTGCTGGTTATCAGCTGATTTGCTCGCTTTCAAGTAGGTCACATAATTTAAGGGGGAAGGGGACAACTCTCTCCTCAGAGGAGCACCGCCTGTCATATTTTAAAAGGTTTTCTGTTCACATAGGGAAGGATTAAATAAGATGCAGGAGCGTGTTTGGATGCACGTCCACCAGCAGTGACACAGGCATCTCACAGGACATGGGAGCAAGGACACTAACGAGGCAGCCAGGTTTCCCAACATGAAGAACCTGTCAACACCGCCTGTCTTCCAGCCTCAGACCTCCACTAGTGAGAATTGTTTGTTTTGAAAGCACTCAGGGAACACAAAGCAGCACAATCCTAAACCAGAAATAATCCTGGGCTGGTTCTTCACGATATGGGCTGTTGTGTTAACACACAACCAGACAGCGGGGCAAGAAAATATCTGCGTAAGGAAGTAAATTGCTGCTGCTATATCATAATAAACACATTCTGTAAGGAAGCTAAATGTATTTGTCTTTTGAAAAAACTAGGTTAAAAGGTAGCTTCATCTGCCTGCAAGTGCTTGCTTGTAAAAAAAAATCAGCAAAGCTGTAACAAGAGGTTGAAATCTTGAACCAGGCAACTCTAAGCATGAAAAGGAGTGTACATTATTTAGTAGGAAATGATCAGCCATTGGAATAATATTGTTAGTGTCCTACTGAATTCAGTATCGTTGGGAGTATTCTTAATCAAGATTGATTTTATTTTTTTTTCCCCTAAAAGATCAGTTTTAATTCAAGCAGGAATTAATTCAGGGAAGCCCAAGGCTGGTGCTGTGCAGGAGACCAGGCTGCCTTGTCACAACGACTCCAATTAGCGTTCTAACCCGCTCATTACCACCTTGACTCTGAAATTTCTAAATCACCTATAACTTTAAATCACCTCCCCCCCAAAACAGAGCATCCCTGTGAGGCAGGTAGGGCTACAGCAGAGTAACTCCACCAGTCAGTTTCTGGATTTAGGCAAGCCTTTATTCAAAGCCCTTGTCAGAACCATTGCCATGCTGTAGCCAAGCTCTGCCTAAGGAGATCGACCAGCACCAGCTATCTCAGAGCTACCTGATTATTCGAGAATAAATCACTTTTATTTTGGAATGCACTGTCAACACTGGGGAGTTATACTGGCTGAGCTGAGAGTGCTATTCTGGTCAATCCTCCCGTGCCGACGTGCCATACATGTGTGATAAGGCTGGAGAACAATCCCCCAGGAGAAGCAATGCACATTTTATTGATTGGGATATCTCAAACTTGTGCAGGACAAAGCAATCTTCCACGTGCTGAATGAGCAGACACGATGGAATTGAGGGTTGGGTTTTTTTTTTTTCCCCCATCTCTAATATGTGTGTTTACTTTAGAGAAGACAGTTTGAACAACACAAGGAAGTGGTGGGGCAGGGGGAGGGAGGGAGCTATATCCAGCTCTGATTCTTCCAGAGACGCTGTGATGCAACATTAGTGCTGGGAGAGGTCATTTCCCTGAAATTCAAGACAAATACGTATGCTGAAGCCACAGGTATGTGTGACGGGCCACGGGGACCTCTAGAACCAACCCAGTGTCTCACACCCAGGCTGTTTGCTTTCTTTTTCTTACCCGACCTGGTGCCTTTTACAGGAAGGAGGTGGATGGGGAGGGATGCTGGATAGGAAGCTTGCAACGAGTGAGTGCTTGCTGCACTTCCAACAGGAGGATGAAGGCATGGCTGACCTAGAGGAGACACCGGTCGGTCATTTCCAGCACTTTGATAGCAGCTTTCCTTGCCTTGATGCCAGTCCCTCTGCAGAGTCACCATCTCTGCTGTTTCCCTGGCAGGAGCTGCATCCAGCTGCTCTCACGCCCCATGTGTGCTCAGGCAAACAGCGAGGAGGTCAGTGAGGCAAAGAGACAAATCTAATTTGGGGTTGCAAGGGCTCTACCAGGCTGGAAAGGTGCCTGATAGTCCGTCCCAAGGGGCAGGGGTGCGAGTGGGTGCTCAGCACGTACCCAGATCTTTCCATCACCCTGCGGGGCACTTGGGCAGTCCAGAGCAAACACCCAGGCACCAACTTCGTCCAGAGGGAAGGGGATTCCCACCAGCGCCCAGGTGCTGTTCACAAAAGGGAAGGGCTGCGAGGAGAAGTGACATCTTTTACTGACTCAACTGATGCAGCTGTGGGAGAAGAAAAAAAAATAAAATCAAGTGCCATTTCGGAGATTTCAGAAAAGCACATTATGCCTAAAACATTTTCCAGCCGTATCAGCCAGGCTAATGAAATACATCATAACTCTCCCCACAACCCCTGCCACGCTTCCGTCCTTCACAACTGTCAGAGAATGGCTGCGATGAGGGCAATTAACACTGCTGCCCTTGCCTCTGAAATCCCCTTAATTGTGCTCTCTGCGAATTGCTGGGCCCCAGGACATTGCAGACTGGACATTTTACAGCAGTCTCGGCTGAAATAAGGAGTGTGGGATTGTACTGACCAGTTTTTGACACTAAGCTCACTGCTGCCTCCCCCGCCACATGGAATCTGGCATTAATTTTAATTTATTTTGTCCTCCCCAGCAGTCTGAATTCACAATGTGCTGGAGTTTGGTATCGAAAAGGCTCCTTTGTTATAGGACACCAGTAAGAGAAGGTGGGACCTCATGGGCAGATGGGTCTTTTATGCCTGGAATGACCATTTGGGAGAGGGGGATGACGGTGTTAGCTGGCAGCCTGGCAGAGTTCAGCTCAGGCTGCACATCGGCACTGGAGCAGTTAATGGCATCGCTGGGGACACTCTCCAGATTAAACTCCAACGTTAATGCTGCAGGAAGAGGAATTCAGGCAGCCCACGCTTCCCTGTACCACCCCAACGAGCCGTTTGCAGGTGCCACCACACCTGGTTTACTCAGGTTGTGTCGGGAAAGTTTTATTGACCTCCATAAAAACCGGGAGCTTTGTTTCTGCAAATAAGGCTTGGCCCGCAGAGCGCAGACCCGTACTTTGTAGCTGTGGCCAAAAATCCACCTCGGAAAAAAAAATCAGGGAACGGAGGGGACCTGGACGCCATTAGCTCCAAGCTCCCCTCGTGCCTTCCTCTCTCCCCCCGTACACCTACTGCATCTCATCTCTTCGGCACCCAGAGGACACTTTCTCATTCTGGATCACAGAATCACAGGATCTTCTAGGTTGGAAGGGACCTTAAAGATCATCTTGTCCAACCGTCAACCTGACTGACAAAAATAGACACCCACACAACAAACAAGGAGCATCATCACTAAACCAGACCTCCCAGCACTACATCAACCCGTCTTTTGAACACCTCCAGGGATGGTGCCTCAACCACCTCCCTGGGCAGCCCATTCCAATGCCTGATAACCCTTTCAGTGAAAAATTTTTTCCTAATATCCAGCCTGAACCTCCCCTGGTGTAACTTGAGGCCATTTCCTCTCGTCCTATCGCATGAAGTTCTTCCTCATGTTTAGGTGGAACTTCTTATATTCATGTTTGTATTCGACCAGCATATAAAGGACACTGAGAGGAGCTGGTGGGGTGGCTGGTGCCCTTCACATCGGGGCTGGTGCCCCCCACACCGGGGCTGGTGTCCCCTCACACTGGGGTTCCCCCAGCCACCCCCGTCCCCCCTCACTGCCCCC